GAATGTTTCAGCCTGATATTGCTGTTTCCATGATTTTTGTGAAAATGTAGCTGATATTCTGTTTTCCAGTTTGAAGGCTAACATTTGTCATTTTTATAACTCATGCCAGACAACGCTGAGAGAAATGCCAGTTCTGGGAATTGAAAATTTATTTTTGTCTTTGTATTAATAGTGATAGTACTGATAGTTTAAAAACAAAACTTTAGGGAAAAAATTGTTCTTGCAATTCCATTTGTATTAGCCACAAGTGATATTGCAATTATACATGGCCCATATGACTAGCAAAACAAACAGATAACAAAATGCTGTTTCTGAAACAACCTAAATTGAAGCTAAGATTATAAAGACTGATGGATTGCCCAAGGTCGTTTGGGAGTAGTGACATAAATTATAACGCAGATGCACAATAAAGTGGTTCTACTCTAGATTTATCTTTAAATCTAAGCAACCTAAATAAACTTTTAGAAACATAAATCAAATCATGGTACTCACCTGGCTTTCCACTGTCCTTAGAATGAGACCACGACTCTTTCTAATGGATTATAACACCCTATATGTTCTGCCGCTGGCCACCTGGCTCCCAGCTGCTGGGCCCTCCTCCTCTTTCCTCTATAGTCACACGAACCCATTTCTATTTCTCCAACGCTCAAGGCCATTCCCATCCTCGGCCCTGTGAACATGCTCTTTTGTCTGTCTGCAGTGCCTTTCCCCATGGGGTTTACATGGCTGCATCTTTCTCATTCTTCAGTTGTTGGTTGAAATACTATATGCTCCCAAAGGCCTTCCTCGACAATCCTCTCTTAAGTAGCACTGTCTCCCATTTTCTTTCCTTTCCCCATGGGTCTTAATACAAAAAGACAGAGTTAATACCTTGTCTGCAGAACCTTACCTTCGTCTAAGAAATGGACGAATGTGCAGACAAGAATGGGCTTTTTTATTTTGATTAAACTGTTTCAGTGCCAGCATAGGCCGATCATCAAAGATCATCTTTTATGTGAATGCTTGGCAACAAATGCAAGTAGTGGTGGAATATTAACATTTTTGAGTAATTTTTGAATCTCATGGTTTATACTAGAACATCTGCGTTGACATCTGCACTGATGGTGCAATAGCAATGGTGGACAAAACCGCTGATGTCTTAGAAATGAATCAGGAGAGTGGCATCAAACCTTGGCAGCCAGTATTCACTGCAGAATTC